ATAACAGATTAAAAAAAAAAAAAGAGGAAGAAAAGTATAACCCTTTGAATTGTACTGTCAAGTGAGATACAAGCATTTCTCTAGGCTGTCTTCAGAGGTCTTGGTCTGAAAGCAGAGCTCCCAGCATGTACTGGAGATGTCTCTACCCCTAACCACACCAGTGGCCCGCAGCTCTCCTGGTGCCATGGGCAGTATCAGGCTGCTGCAGGAGACTGGATGCCTAGCAAGGGAGCAGAAGCTACAGGAGAGCACCGCACAGTGGTATGGCACGTCACGCGGACAGTTTGCCTGGCATGTCCATGCTGCATGCTCAGGCCCATGCTCAGGGGCAAATGAGCACTCAGTTTTCTTCCCAAGGCTTTCATCCATCTCTATGTCATCTCCCTAAAATATGCCAGCTCAATAAAATCATCATAACTCTACCTTACACTACAAAATGAGGTTTCCTGAATTTGGCTAGTATTTCATAGTTTATGTGACATTTTCTGAAATGAGAAATAATTTTTTAACAACAAATTAAGATAACGTGTTTGGAGCACAGAGGGGTATGAGTGGCTTAGTCAAGTTCCTTCTGAATGAAAGTCACAAATGGTTCTAGAGTATTCTTTCAGGACAAAAAATGGGAAGAGTTTTCACAAATATTAAGGCATTTAATTCACTAACTCTTTAAGCTGAGGTAACAGCACTAAGGCGTCCTTGAGGGTCAGGTCATATGAAGAAACTGCCTGAATTAATCTCACAAATACATTCTTCACAGATTACTGTCACTATTAACCCATGCAATTTTACCAGTAAAGGAGAAAAAAGAAAATAAAAAGCCAATACGAGGCATTCTCAACATTACTTTTGGCCTACTACAGAACTTTCAGCCTCTTCTTTACGGGCAAAGCAGACTCACCTGAGACATCCTGTCCTAACCACTGCCTAACACGCTGCTTCTGCCAGAGAAGGTGTTTTGAGTTTTTTACATTCTTGTAAAATAGCTTTATTTCGTTACCTGCTCCTAAAAGACCAACTCAGACCCACACATCTCATTTACACTCTTTAAATCAACAGCTGGAAGACATCCGAGAGAGCATGTGTCGTCCTACTTAGGTATACAGGGAAAGCACACCCTACAATGTGGTCATACAATGAGAATATTCATCTTGTAGGTCCACTTTAGTCAATGGATCCTTACTTATATTATACCCATTATCACAGGAACATTCTTTGGTGACACTGGCTAAGCACCTGCTGTGTTAACATGACAAGACATCTTGTGGCATGCTACTGTACCACTTTTACTAGACGTTTATTGGGGGTGTAAGTAGTTGTGTGTGAAGGGCAGAAGACTAATATTAATTTTCTTGTGTCTTGCACTCTTGTCAGTGAGAAGAGGCATGCATTCATCCTAACTGGGAGATTCATCCCACTTCAGATCTAAACGGCTCCCACAGTGAATCAGAGCTCAATAGCAATTAGGTAATAATCACTTTTGCACCGACGCAACAACTTTGCAGGTAGAAAAGGGCTGTTAATGCTTCAAGCTAAGAAGGTAATAAAGAATGAAGAACTGAAATGTGGCAGGAAAAGATGATTCTGCTTTTGCTCTTCACTGTGAAATACATAGCAGAAAATCACCAAATTGTTTTTAGAAGAGATGGCTCTTTGCTTTTTAGCATCTAGAAAGGGAGGATAATCACGCTAGCAACAAGCCTGACTTTCAGCTGGTTGATTTTTCTTACATCATCTCTGAGCTTCAAACTCTCCATTTTCTGACACTTTCCTGTCTCTTAGTTTGCATTACACAGATTGTCCCATTAGTATTTGTGAAGTAATCACAGAATGAGGAGTTTTCTGGCTTTGAAGTAGTAGAGAGTATTTGCAGGTCTGCTGTATACATCACATGATGCATCTGGAAGTATCAGCATGAGACAGACTCAAAGTAATTCTCTACTTTGGTCCTGGTTTTGCCAATGAACTGCTGCGCCATCTGTAACTAGCCCTCAGGCATGCAACTTCCAGCCCTCAACACAGGTGCTCACACGTCACACTATCACAGAATGGCACACCGGTTCAACACTTGTGCCTAAGTATCCTCATCAGTAGTTAAAACTCAGTCAACATGATTAATATAAATATCTCTACATGTCTCTCTGCACATGATGAATGCTCTAATTATGTCTCATACACGCAAGACAAGTAGGCAAATGCTGACCCCCCCAACTTTTCTGGTTTTAAGTGAAATACATTGCTTTTACAGAACACAGAGAATCTCCACTTACCTCCTTCATTCATTACAAGCTTCATTTACTTGTTTGTTTTCAGAAACTGTCTTCCCTAAACACATCTACGTTATTTCAGAAATGGAATACATATAGTGAGTGGTTATCCTACATGTATATTTTGACCTGAGGAGCTGATAACTACTTGAAAAGTAGTTACTGAGAATGAAAAGTAAAAGCCTCTCACATTTGTGTTCATTTTATAAATTTTCTGATGCTAATTCTCTGACAAAAGTTAGTATCTTTTTAGTATTTTCCACCACGCTGCAAATATGAATATGGTTTGTTTAAAAAAAAAATACATGAATACATGTGAAAAAGCAAAGCAGATTCAAGCACAACTCTTCAGAGACCTTACAAGATCAAAATGATGCCATAAGTCCAGCAGGATAAAACTGTGTGAATAAGCAGAAATAAGAGTAAACACTCAGGTAAGGTAAAATAGTACCATACATTAGAATTCACATTCACAAGTATTTCAAATACACTGGAAGAGATGAGAAATCTAGAAAGCTCCAAGTTAATGGTCTGGAGCAGTCTGAACTAAGGTGCCACATACCAGCACATGCCACAGGTATAAAACAGTTCAACCTCACCATCTCCAAGAAAGCAGTATTCTTGCATGACTTAAGTTTGAAGGCTTAGGAATGATGAAGACCGATTGAGAACTACAGCTGAAAATTATAGCTTCCTTCCTTCCACAGGTGTTTTGTATGTTTACTACTTGTCATTCAGGTGTTCTGTGTATTTAATTCTTACACATCACATACAGAAATCCAAAACCACAAAAAAAATCCACCCCTATGCAATACCAACACCCTGCCCAATTCTACCTTCAGATGCCTTTGACCTTATTTATTTAAATCACACCTTCAGCATGCATTTGAGAATGTTATACAGGCAACTACGAAATTATTCTATTTAGCAGACTAAACACATAAATGAGAGCAATGAGGTTAGGGAGGCATATAAAGAGATTTTGCAGAAAGCTGTTCTGAGGAGTTAAAGGAACCTCTTCACGGGGCTGAAAGGAGTCACCTCTCGGCTAATCGATTTGTCTGCAGTTCCCCTGCTAAAGAGCCTTGTTTTCTCTATGTTACCTCCTAAGAACTGCTCTCCTTTAGCAAATTTATCATTTCATAACAAGTAGAAAGCCTCTCTCTCATCTATCCCAGGTGGAGGGCAGCAAAAGCAGCTGTGTTTATTTTATTGCCTCACATTTCAGGCCCCCCCACCCCGAGGTCAAGGATTTGATTTGCCCTTCCAAAATTCAATGCAACATAGACCAGATATGTTGTAATTCCTGCTAATGTCTTCAAAAAGCTCTTTCTTTCCCCACCACTACTACTAATGCACTGCCAACTTCTCCAAAATTATTTGACTCAAGATGTTTTATTTTTTTTTATAGAGGAAAAAAGGGACAGTCTGCTAGTATGTAAATAAAAACACTAAGCAATGGTTTTATTTAAAACAGCAAAAAAGAACAAATACTGAATTCTGTACCATAGCTGATGAAGAGCCTTGGTACTGTCTTCTGATTTCTGACTGGTCTACCTATAAAGCAGTGTGCTCTCAGGTATTTTTGTACAAGAAAGTTTCTCTATATACAGTATATATGCTGCCTGCCTTTATAAAGAAATGCATAAACTGTTTTCCCAATCACTGAAAGTGCATATGCACCATGCACATTTTTGTTTGTAGAACTGACTAAATACCACAAGATTTATAGTTGCAATTTACTGAACAGCTTTATAAATGGCTATTTAAAGCAGGCCTGCTCACATACATACACTAAAAAGTCTTTTTATGAAAGCATTATCATTTAAGCCCAGTCCATGCATGTCTTTTTTATTCTTCCATCCTGTCTTCCAATTTTTACAGTATATTTTAACAGTTTGTCAAAAATGCCATCTCCCTTCCATCACCAGTACTATTGGAAAAAGAATCTAGGGAAATATTTTTTACAAAGTAGTTCAAAAACTTCCTACAGTGGCCAAAAGATTAAATGTTACAGCCTGACATACAAGGGCATTAAAAAAAAAAAACCACAATGCAAAGGCAGGAAGGAACACGGTATATGTTGATTCATCAATTTAGTTTTTAATAAGTACATCATAGCTATGAATAACAGCAGGCTCTAGAAAACACTGAGAAACAAAAAGGAGAATAATGCCCTGTTGCACTCATTCCTGTGATGGAATAATACATCACCAAAACTATCTCAGCTACACTCTTCTAAGAAATAGGTCTCTTCTGTATCATAGAAAAACCATTTCAGTAAAGTACCTGGCCCACAGAAGTACTTCAGGAAGGACTGCAGATCATTTCTATATTCAAGCCTCAGTACACCTTCACACTTACCTCTCTCACAAATGTCAGCAGAATTCCCACTTCCTAAATTAATATATCTTATAAAGAAGTTGTTCTCTAAAAAACATGTTAGAAGGTAGGTGCTATTGTCTGAAAACCAGTATTTTAAAAATTTTAATGACCGCATGACCATGGGTGCCAAGGCACAACTGCAACAATGAAGGATGCCCATAGATCGTTAATCTGTATGGTCCAGCACCACTTGTAACCTTCAATCCATATTTATGAACACAAAAAGGGGCCTTGCGATACTCACCACCATGAAACTAAACTTAGCAGTGAAATTCATTCATCAACCATTTATTTAAAACTATGTTTCCAAGTAGGTTGTTAAGGGGACAGGTTTTTGAATATTTTGTTTACCTTCACAATAGGCAGAGTCCCCTTGGACGGAGAGATAACCATTCTTGCATTCACAAGTAGCTTTTGTGTTCCAGTTTTTGCACTCTGAGTTTTCACCACATTTGTGCCCCTCTGCACAGAAGTTATGGCCTGAAACACAAGGAGCATACAACATGGTATTAAAACACATGAATTTCAGATATTGAGGTTTAATATTTAAATTGACTGTACTACTATGAAAAACTTTGGCGTGCTACATTCCAGAAATCCTCTCTATAAATTTATCTGGTGCACACAGGCTTTTTGGAGTCCTCCATCAATTCATTCTCAGTAAAACCATTTTGTTCAAAAATGTATTTGTATGACTGGTTTTAGTCAGGAGAAAAGACAACGTCAAAGCAGGAAGCCATAACAACACACTAGTCTTCTACTGAACCCCCGTAGAATAAAATGCCGCCTTATCTCTGATTGCCAAGAAGTGTAATACTAACTCACACCAAAAGGATAATAAAGTGTAATATCCAAAAAAAAAAACAAAAAACCACACCAAAAAAAAACCTTCACAGTTCTCTTAGTATGCATAATCAAGCATGCTTTTAGAAGAGCAAAAACAAGACTTTGCATTAGAACACAAAACTATGCTGGTAGTCAAAACAACCTAATGCACTGCCTTGTAATTCTGCCATCAAAAACTAGCTGGATTGTTTCTACAATTTATAATTAATCCATGCATCATGTTTTGTAAGGGAGAATTTTTACTAATCTCTTCTTTTTCCTTGACACAAATTCTGAGTAGCTTCTTTGTGAACAGTTCCTTTTATTCTATACAAAGTCATTTCTACAAACACGATGAACTTTCCCACTTTCTTCTATAAAGGCGCAACTGGCTGAAGTTCTTTCTTCCTGATTTTTAATATTTCTCAAAGATGCATCAAAATCTCTCTCTGCTGAAGTCTAAAGGGAAAGTAATTGCAACTTTATCTCTTTAAAGGGACTCCACTGGAAGTACTGTAAAAGATAACTAAATAACTTCCAGAATGCAACAACAGGAATTTTTCCCCCCCATTGGTGTATTTTTGATAGATTTTTCTCTATTAATATCCAAGAGTCAATTTCTGTTTGCCTGAGATACATAAACAGTCATTTTGGTAATTCTTATTTTTTCTGGATCTTCTCTCCTGGGAGGGAGGAAATGAGAAACCCAGACATACCATCAGCTACTTGTATTTCAACTTGTGTTTACATGATTACAAGAACAGCTTCTGCTTATTCTGTCTGGTCAGAAAGGAGCAAACTAAAAGTTCTAGTTCACTGATCCCAAACTTCCCTAACATCCCTTAAAGTCAAACAACCTGGACTTCTAAGATCTAAATGCCAGATTCGTAACTTTGTTCATATCCCCTGCTTTGCTATTCTTTAAAGAACTTTGGAAGACTTTAGCTGATACTAAATATAGTTTTCATCTGCAGCAGGCAAATTTTCATAGGGCTATCCTGAAGATGTTGTTCATTGTGGGTTTTTTAAATTTGTTTTTAAACATGCACTTCAGTCATCTATTCATTTCAAACTCGAGTTTCATTATTTTAGTGCACTCCATGAGGCTGATCATCTAACGCTGGGTTGCGAGGTCATTTTTAAAAAAAACACACTTGTTAGCAAGGAGGACACTTTCTCAGTGTCCATGTCCAACACTACACTTAAACTTCGGATTAATTTTATCAACAACCACGGTATCTTTGTGCTCAGTTAGCTCGTTCATTCATTGTAATCCAACTTGCAAAAAACAACCAACTCCTTCAATGAAAACTGCAGATATCCCTTCTAGTCGTCCTTCATTTCACAGTCTGGTAAAAACCACTCAAGTATTCCAGATACAGCCTTGTCAAGCCCGGGTACATTTTATACTGGTAAAAAAAGGGCACAGTTACACTGCCTTCAGCCATTTATGCAATCACAGTATTTGACTTCTCATTTCTGCCTTTATAATTATAATCAAAACTAAACACCGGAATCCATCTCGCCCAACTCTCCCCAAATTCAGCATCTAATTTATACTCCCCAAGCAGGATTACTATTCTGTTGGCATTCTAGATAATATCCAAGAGAGAACAAGTTTTATAATGTTTCCTTTATCACTATTTCCCGTAAGACTACAACATCATAGTCTATTCCCTGCTCCTTTAGAATAATAATTATCCTTTGAACTCATACATGGTATTAGTTTTATATTTGATTGTTATTGGTAGCAGATACTGCCACTCAGAACCAATCTAACACATCAGTGTGTTAAGCTAGGCATTATAAAAATACCACATTTTCATTTAGCATGTATTGTTACTACTGTCTTAGGATATTTTAATTTCACCCTGTGATCGGTTCATGGCAAATTTAACACTTACAATTAGCCAAAGGGATGGCTTCTCAGGGTTAAGAACAAGCTGCTGATTAGTTTTCAGTATCACATCATAGCCCTAAGAACTCTTCACTGTTTGTTTGCTACCTCTGAAATTCATCAATAGATATGACGGCTACCCTAACTACCCATTTTGTACTACTGAAGCTGTCACTTTTTGTTAAAAATCCTCTGCAAAAACCTGTACTGCTTTTGTTCCCTTATTATCAACTCAAATATGAACTGTCTCCATTCAGAATCAGACTCTTTCTTATGTTTTCAAACTTGAAGGCTGTTAAAAGAGCATAAAAGAAAAAAAGTAACGCTCCAGTTCTCTAACTTGTGTAATTAGAAGCTCTAAAGAACTTTTCATTGTTCTCCTCTCATTAGGAGTACACAATGATAAACCACCTACCACATCTCTGGGTTGCCTTGGCATTTATTATTATAAAAGACCTGTGAAATGCTGTTTCCTACCTTTTAAAAACACTGACTAAAAGTGATTCAACTTCAATTTCCCATAGCATTTCAGAAAGCTTGTATATACAACACTTCTATAAGTGGAAAGTGGAAGCTACTCCTGTTAAGAGCATGCATGGTGCTACCACACTGTATGTTACTAAGCTTTTACAAAACAAATATCAATTTTAAGGTTCAGCAATAGAAAAGAAAAATTTACTTGATGGTATAGAAGAGTAGGACCTCACTGTGCCTCTATCAGAGCAGACATACCATTGACTGGATTAGAAGCTTTTCCAAGTGCTTTTCTTTTGCAGTGAAGATGCACATTTAGCGCTTCAAAAGAGCCAAGAGGTGCACACCAAGGAAGTGCATTTCTTGCATTTCTCAGACCCTGGTCTGTATTCTCCCCCGCTGGGGTTTTGGAGGCAAGAAAGAAATAAAATGCTATCTACTTCATCTTAGTTCATATTAGGCCTGAGTGCTTTTCCTGCTCTTCTGGCAAATAAAGGCCACCTCGTATTTGGACAGTAACGTGAATAAGCAAGCCAGCTGTGTTGTTCTCACCTTTAACAATCCAAATTCAATGTCTAATTTAGCTAAATATTTTAATTCTTTCTTAATCAGCAAAACAGCCAGGAATGTACACAGGCCCACTGACCACAACAACCATGCTTTATATTCCTGACTAAACAGGGAAGGACTTAAGCACAGAGTTAAACATCAATCTGTTCATGGCCAATCTATTCATAGGAGCAACTACTTATCCCCAAGCAAGCAGAATGGAAAAGAATGCAAATATCTGGTTTTTATTAATTCTTTGGTGTCAAATGGATTACAGGGTTCCTTTAAAATACCTACATCTCAATCTCAACTATGGATGGCAGCTAGCAGAGGGCACGCATTCCGATTGCCCAGGTGAAAATAACTGAATTATTGAAACTTCAGAATATTCAGCGAAATCTTATCTGACACAGTCAGCTCCTCTCCAAATATAAGAAATGGCTTAAAATAGAATATCACATCCAAGCAAGCAGGCAATTGGAGAGGATTTGACAGAAGCACACAAAATCTTAAATAGTTCTGATAATCTAAACTAATTTCAGGCCAACACAGATGACAAGGCAAGTGAGCATGAATTAAAATTACAAATAAACACATTCAGAACAGATGTCAGAAACCATTTTCCCCACACATGCACATACACACAGAGTCATAAATGTGCACAACAGCCCTTCAAAGTCATTCAAGACATTCAAGATACAATTAGATACTACCAACAGGGGAATTAAATATTGAAGAGTGTGTTTAGATTTTTGATGGGCCTGATGACCTCTGTTCCTTCTCCAAACATTTCTGATAACATTACTCTCTTCCTTTATCAAGGCTGCTGAACTGTTTGCTCCAATTTTTCTTAAGAACATATTTGTATCTTTCTACTTCTTTCGTCCGACTGTAGAATAACCATTAATAAATGTGCTAAGACAATTATGAAAAAGATTAGATTTCATGCTAGCAGACATAAAACTATCAGTTCTGCAGCAGCGGGAACTATACAACTGGCTAGGGCTTAGTGGTCCCAACACAGATTATCTAAAATTAAACATTTATTCCATTTTGGGACACCTGAACATTGCTCTCATTTTTCCAAGCTTCTCAACATCTTCAGGTTCCAGTCCCCAGAATCTGCTTTTCCAGAGCAGCACGCTAAGCTGTTTTGTGCTGTCATCCAGTTTTTTAAGTACCTAACATTTTGGTAATGTGGCTTAATTATTGACTGAATAATGCAAGAACTCATTCAAGATTACAGCTGGAATCAATATACCTTATACCCATATCTCTTCCCACATTTTTTATGGACAACACTAATTTTTGCCTCTCATTTTTCCGAGGGTTTCCTTGTAACATCTGTAATGCTTTCTGTACTTCTTACAATATCCCTAGCTGTTCACTTCAAAAAAAACTATAAAACCTCTGCTCTCTCGCTGTTCAAAAAGCTACCCTTCAGCAATCCACTGTTCACATTTTGAAGGCTTCTAAAAAGAACACTGGCGATGCTTCCATTAATAGCATTAACAATGTTCAAGAGGTCCAAGGTAATTTCAACCTCAAAATCTTTACTATTGTTTTGATTTAACCCCACAGTTACTACAGAAATGAGTAAAGTAAATCTGGGGGACAACTCAGGAAGAGTCACAAAATTTGCACTAGCAATTATGCCCTTTCATGATGTGAATCAGTTTTTAATGAGTCATGAGCCATGAAGCACTTTGAACAGCAGTTTTTAAGCCTTCAGAGACTGTGGTCCCAGAACTCAGTGGTCTGACATAAAACAGTAACTTCATAAATTCTTTCAAGCTGCTATATCAATGCAGACCTTATTACATACTGCTTACTTGTGTGCATTAGAATAATGGAACTGTGCAGCCTAACAAGCTTATAAAGATTTTTTTCTTCAGATATAAAGCTCTTCTAAATCCTAAGTAACATTATAACTATGTTTAGAAATAAACTGACTCATATTTATCAACCTCCATTAAATCCTACTAAAACTAAAACCTTAAAATAACTCATACCTCACAGCACTTGAATGAGAAACGTTTGATTTCTGAAAAGCAAAACTCAGTTTCACAGCTGAAGACCCTTCTCATTCTCTCATTGAAAGAGCCAAAACCTCCTTAAAACAAAGCAAAGCCAGTAAGGGTGGTAGAAGCACCGTTTTTAGATTTAAATGCTGTTCCCTACCGTAAAATGCACCCTTCAGCTCACCAGTAGGATTCTCCACTTCCTGCTAACCAGCACCAGCAGTCAATCTAAATCCATCTGCCAAACCATAGTACAGAATAGCAAATAAAAATTACTTTCTCCAGTAAGCAAACAGCTCTCACTGCTTCATCATTTCCTCACACACTCTCTTTTAAGGAGAGCGTGGCTGAAGCTGCTTGGGCTGTTAAGGCTATTCGTACATACCAAAATTGGGAGCATAACAACATAAAAATTGTCTCATGAAACTTTATTTGAATCGCTCGTTCAGAAGAGGAAAAACCCACTCTTGCAAAATTAGACACTGTCTTTGGGAAGGAGAAAAAAAGCTAAAAGGGAACAATAAAACACTTTTATGACACTATTTTTTGTATTAGATTTGTCCCTGGGCTATAAAAAAACGTAGCAGGCACACTGTAAGAAAAATGACTTATTTGCAAAAAAAGTAGTAAAAAATATATTTCATTACACAATGATTCTTTGCAAAATTTTAAAATTAACTAAAATTTCTGTAAGCCTAGAAAGAAAGCTTGATAATATCATATTGTCCTGCTGAAAAGTATAAAGTAGTCATGTAGTTTAAGCAGACATTTATATGAAAGCACACAGATGAAGGGCCAAACTAGGTATACTCCACATAACGTTCAAGGATAGATCCTATATATACAGATCTGATGAGGCCCATTTTTGCATTCAGGTACATGAAATCACAAAAATAACCTGCCATTGTACAGCAGAGTTCTTCCATACTACGCCTGCCTTGCTGTACACTTTATACAATCATTTTACTGAAATCTAGAAATTGGCTTTTAGCAATATATTAGCTTTTGCTACACTATAAACTCATGCAGCAAACCCGAGGAAGAAAAGGTATTATTTGCTGTCTTTACTTTTCTAACCATTTACAAACAGTAATGACTATCTAGGAAGCTCACCAGCTGTGTACATTACAGTATTCAACACGGTCCTTTGCTGACTCACAATTTCCATCACTGTAAATACCACCGATTTTTTTTTTCCTTGCATACCTTATTTTATTTTAGCACTTATCTATTATTGTAGTAGGTATTACAGAGATCCGTGAAGAGGGTACAGTCTCATACCACAGCATCACGAAGTTTCCATATTTCTCTGTGGTTTTTTTTTTCTTCTGTTGATCCTCCACATTTATCCTTTTATTAAATGGAAATTCCCTTGCTGCAGCCAGAAAACCACAAGCTGCAAACCTCCTACCCTTGCCCAATTCAGCAAAGGTATTCTGTAATTCTACAGAACGTGAAATTCAGTGGAAGTTTTCTGTTTCCACAGCTAGATACTAAAGAAAGCACAGACTTCTACAAAAACAGAACTTACCAGTCACTAGTATGCACTGATAAACTTTACATAGAATTATTGTTCTCTATTTAACATTACTAGTAAATGCTTACTAATCACCCTGCTGGCTAACGAAAGGCCTCGCTAAGAGCTAATGCAGAGAATTACCTGTATCATCATACAGATAATGTGAAGTTTGCACATGACATGCCAGTGATCCACGTGGGCTTCCAGTAAATCCTCTGATTACTCTGGACTCTATTTGCTACAATATTTCTTCCTCACTACTTTTGCTTGGACAATGAAAGCTGAATATAGTCTCTGAAAGAGGTCGTTATTGCAAAACAGAGAGGCACTCTATCCCTTCCCAGTAAAGGACATGTGGCACAAGACAGGATCAGAACCTATGACCTGCTTGCCGTACCAGAGGGCACCTGTTTGCATGATAAAATCTATACCACTATGGAATTCTTAATAAATATCCATTTTTAACACCAGCACTCTACATGTGATAAAATTATATACTAGCACTTTGGGTTGCGTGCAAGTCAAGCAAAAGTGTCAAGCTGCATATATTCTACTTCAAGATATAAAACGCAATTTAAGAGTGATAACTTCAATTTATGCTTTTGTACAGTTGACAAAATTAATCGTATCTTTAAGCATAATTTTCAAAAGAATTTTAGAAAGCGAAGATGAAACACAAAAGGAGGTGGTACTGTTTTAGCAGTCAGCTAAAGCAGAACTGAAGTGGAAGTTTAACGTATCCATCTGAAAGCACCAAGTAACAGAATTCATAGGAAGTGAAATTACCATTCCTTCCTCTGCTTCTAGAGACCATCACATAAGTATACATATTCATGCTATTTTATAAATAATAAAACCAGTTTGGGGATGAATATCTAAAAAGAGTACCTATCATTAACAATAATGTAGAACTGAGTAATTACAGAACTTATCTGTCATCAACTTTGAAGCTTTCAGATTTCCAATGCTTTTAAGTAATGAAGATAATTTTTTCAGTACTGCACTACATCAAACTGGGCCATCTGTTAAGGAGTACCATTAAGACATCGAGCCCTCTGAGGGACAAAGAAGCAACATTTACTGCTTGCTTAAATAGTTACAGATGTTTCTAGAAACTGTTTAAAAAAATTAACGTGTATATTCTTAGACCACGATCCAGCAAGCGGTCTCAAACGTGCTGGCCCCTGCAACCACACGTATATGCTTGCAAGTTCAAGGCCTTAGTAAATATTTAACTATGCATATTTATTAATTAATATTTACTGGCTAGGGGAGAGATTGAGAGCCCCTTCATTGGCATCTACAGTGACACTGGAGGAATTTACAAACAGACAAGACAAGTAGCCTGGCAAGCCCGAATAACCACGTAAGCCTGGAAATGTCTAACGCTCCTTTGGCACACCTCTTGCTTGAAATTTCTGAGGTGCATCACTCAAGGCTGACACGCAAGCCTTGCTCAGAGAGACCAGGCTCCCCTTAAGCTCAGCTGAGACTCAGCACCAATGGAGAGGTGTGGAACAGAGGTATAATACAGACATGCAGAGGAAATTATTATTCTAACACCTTTCACCCAACAGCTCACTGATTACAACATGCTTTAAGAAGAAAGTTTGTTCAAGTTCTCTAGCTTTGCAGTACCTGCATTTTCCTCATTTAAGGGAATTTCCTCAACTAACGTTTCAACTATGGCTTGTTCAGCGTGGTCCAGTATGCAGCCAGGATTCACTAGGGCTGAATGGGAACAAGCAAGAGGAACCTGCCTCTCAACACTCCACTGCAAGGAGGAAAAATGGGGTTCTGGGCTCTAGAGCTATTTTTTCATTTTTATGCTATAATTATCCAGCTCAATTGATAAATGAGTCCTGAGAGAATTCAGATCTAAATCAACCTCCAAATACAGCAATCTTAACTTTATTATTGTGATTTTAAAATAGACATCTTAACAAATTTTTTTCCAAACCCTGTACGTTCAGTACAGTTGAAAGTTTAAGCAACATAAAATATCTCTTTTTCAAACATAACTTCTTCATAATGGGAATTCTAAAGAGATATTGGGCCCTTTCTCCCCCAACTCTTCCTTTTCTCTCTCCCTCCCCTCTAATTCAGAGCAATTACAGCTTTGTATCTGGTAAGTCTTCTACCCAAAGGAATATCACAGACTGGTTTTACATGAAGGCTAATTATAGACTCAGGTTTATAGAGGTACCTAATATCTCATTAAAAAGGAATTGCTCTTTCCAGTGTATCCCCCTGTTGAATCACCAACTTATATTCCTTCCAAGCATGCATAGTCTCTGGCTTACCTCTACAAACACTGCAACATTGGTTCTCTGGAAGAACGTGATCTTTTTCTGAGCAGTTCAATGGCGGACAAGTCTCTGTTACTTTCACTAAAACTCCATTCTGAAAGTAAACAACATTTTAAAAAAAAATGACATTGATGAAAACCTGTACAATGGCGAGGATCACATAATTTTCAATCTCTATCTCCGGCAATCTCTAGTAACAACACTGGTAAAGTAGCAGGCAGCAAGTTAAATTCATTCGTTACACCATAACATTGAAACTGAAGTCATCTATTTGGACGTTTCTATGGCCAGAAAAGAAAAGAAGAAAGAAAAGAAGAAAGAAAAGAAGAAAGAAAAGAAGAAAGAAAAGAAGAAAGAAAAGAAGAAAGAAAAGAAGAAAGAAAAGAAGAAAGAAAAGAAGAAAGAAAAGCAAATAAAAGAAAAGAAGGAAAAGAAGAAAGAAAAGAAGAAAGAAAAGAAGAAAGAAAAGAAGAAAGAAAAGAAGAAAGAAAAGAAGAAAGAAAAGAAGAAAGAAAAGAAGAAAGAAAAGAAGAAAGAAAAGAAGAAAGAAAAGAAGAAAGAAAAGAAGAAAGAAAAGAAGAAAGAAAAGAAGAAAGAAAAGAAGGGGGAGAGGAGGGGGGAGAGTCACTTAAGCTCAAAATTCTACAGTAATTTTTCCAAATACATTGTCTCCAAGTATAGTTGTTTTCCTTCCAAACATTTGAAGGAATGAAAGAATTTCACTTCAGGTTTTTCTTAAAGGCAGTCTTCCTGCTTTATTCAAGTCCGAGTTTAACTCATCTTATTTCATATTCTACATAACTTACTGGTAAGTTACCCAACTCAAGCAAACACACCAACATTTTCAAGTGTCACATTGTCCCGCTGTGCCCAATTAAAAGTGTCTGTTCTTTAGAATTACTGATCACCTTATTTCCAAAAAGTAGGTCTTCCAAAGGAACGGCAAAGCAGAAATCCCATTCGGATGTATCCATATAAAGGTAATCAAAATCAAGGTCAAGATATTTCTATGATTTTGAATTCTACCAGATTTAGAGTAAGACTGTGCATGTCTAGTTACTGGTAGAAATTTTCTAAAATAGACAGAACATTTCTGAGGAGATTTTACACCAAATTTTACCCTATCTTCTTCCCATCCAGGAAATATACTTCACCATATCTCCAGACCAAACAGCTGTCCTGCTCTTCAGTGAGTTGTTTCTTAACAACTTTTCCCAAAGTAGTTTCCTCTTTTCCCTCATCCCCCCTCCACCCTTCCCCATACCATAACTTACTTCTTCAGCATCCCTTCTGCAGCTCTGCCATCACTGTGAACTGGCAAGCGGAGCAGAGATTAACAACCAGGATTTTTGCTCAACAGGAGCTACAGTAACTACCCCACAGGACTGCCCACACCTGAGTAAGCCCATTTTCCAATCAAAGGACTGTCAAACTCCCCTAAGAAAGCAGGCAGCCTGCTCTATTGCCAATACACCTTTTTAACATGAATCTAGTCCCCACGCCTCCCAAAATGTTTTTCACAATGCCTCCGACAGTGGAGTCAAAAGATGGAATGAGAATTTCTGCTTTCTTCAAAGAAATAAATTACATTTTCTAGCTATCATGGTGGCAGAGGTAAGTTTAAAAATATGATGCAAACACACCTAGAGCTAAGAAAGCAGAGGAAAACTAATACCAAAAAAAGACAAAGTATGTTATTAAAGCCACCTTTCTTATTATCTGAGGGATCAGGTGTGTGACTTTGAACAGAGGGTATTGACAATACCTATGTGTTTACTCTGGACGAACAAACACCCCTATACAGCAGACACCCACGCTAGTCAGAAGCTTCCTTTCATATCCACAAGGCACTGTGCCACAGCATGTCAAAAGACTAGCTCAGGTGCCAGAACCAGTACAGGTAAAATTCCTTACTGGTAATAAACCCCAGCAGCCACACCACACTAGTTCAAGCTGTGTCACTTCAGGCTCCAGAATTAGCTCTCAGCATCAAGCTCCCACACACAGTTATGAATGCAGAAATGCTTGCAGAGTCTACAAGGTGCCAATGATGCACAAGGTGCCCGGCAGCTAGCAGGGCTTACACATGAGCAGCGCAGCCAACCTAGGGAAAGCAAAACTGACCGTTCTACAATCACTGCTGGTCACTGCCCTTGAGATTGCAATCTTAAGGCTAAGCAGGGCCAAGCCATTTTTTTTGCTTCCCCATTGTCTTTACTGGCTAGTTGCATCAGTCACTGTCATGAAAAATAAAATTTAAAAAACCTACAGGAATCAGTTTTTCTTTTTTTTTAAAAAAAAAAAACCATCCCCCTACAGTATCACAAACAGCATGAGTCATTGAAGCAAGCGCCCTCACAAGAACAGTGAAGTTAATGGAGGCATTAGGTCTCCTTCTGATCTCACTTCCGTAAATGAAAAGGAGGAATCCCCCATAGTTGCCTGTGCAACTGCAGCAGCAAAGGTGATAAAAGAGCCAGACACACCGAGCCATCATTTACTATCATGTTATCAAACTACCAGCTGGAAAAGCTCTGGCTATAACTCATCGCCTATTCAAGCTCAGACAAGGCAATTGCAGCCAAAAGGGTACAGTATGTCAACATATGGACAAAAAGCATTGACTGACAATAAATCTGGTCAAAAAGACTGCAAAAAAATCAAGTAATCGTATGAAAGTCAAATCAGTGATCAGGATGAGTCAATCCAAGCTCACACTTTCTGTAGTGAATCATAAGGAGATAAAAAACCCACAAATGGAGAATTCTATTAACTCAATGACAGTAAGATTTTATTTCCCCAAGTTTCCCATTTTCTGCAGAATTTGCATCTTGGGAAAACAAATCGAACATACTTGTAATTAAGTTTTAAAACAATTAAAATGTTTCCATGTTGAGTATTCTTTGGATTGAAATCGATTTGTTATAAACTAGTACAGATCTTCAGATTCAGATTTTATCCATTGAGCTAAGAATAGTTCACACTTCAGAATTATTGCTTCAGGCATCCTTAGAAAAATTACTAAATTTTTATACTCAATTCACATATGTAGTCAGAGAATGTGGACAGAAATAGATGTCAAAAAGACATTCTTCTGGAATAAACAGGTCAGGCTCTGACTGTGACATACAATGCACAAAGAATGAGATCTGGAGTCAAATATTTACAACAGCATAATTAAATTTCTTGTAATTACAAAGGTAAGTACATTAAAAAAAATTGGCTATAAGCCTAATCGGTGACACGCTGTGAAAATCTGAACCACAAACAGCTCATCTCAGATGATCAGCTTTGGAAAACAATAGCAAGATTTCCAATAAGGTTATTTGGGGTTTTTTGTTGTTGTTTGGGGGTTTTTTCCCCTCTTGTTTTAGCTGTTATTGATCTACCTTTCAGGAGAAAGTTCTAAATAGCATCCTTAGCTGTCACTCTAGGAACAACCTTGTTCTTTATCTTTATGAAAATCTTTTTAGTCAAGCTTCCAGAAAGTCAGCGGAGCCCCGTCCACCTTTCTAGCATTTGTATGGCGCTCTCTGACTGCGCTCTCCCAGTGTTAACAAAGAGGAATTTATTCTTGTACCCTTTGCTGTCAAACACACCATCCGGTTATGAATAGATAACGTGTCATTCATAGCCATTAACCTAGAAATTAGCTGATCAACAGTAAACTCCCAACCCAACAGAAGTTATAGAATTCTTTCCATTGACTTGTAATGAGCCATGGCACTGTATTGGTGAAACCTACAAACCAAAATAACCACTTCTCAAATGCAGAAAGGTGCAGTTTTCTAAAGCACAAACACATCTGCATTTTGTAGAGAGACCTAAAGAGGCTGGAGACATGGACCAGCAGGAACCTCAAGGACTTTCACAAGGAGAAGTGCAAGTCCTGCACACACCAGTGCATGCTGGGATCACCTGCGAGAAAGCAGCTTTGCAGAAACGGACCTGGGGGTCCTGGCAGACACCAAGCTGAACAGGAGCCAGCCACATATCCCTGGGGCAAGAAAGGCTAATGGTAATTTGGGCTGCATTAGGCAAAGTATCGCCAGCAGGTCGAGGGAAGTGATAGGACAGAAAAGGAAGGGAAAATAATAATAATAATAATAATAAATTCCTTCCCCTCTACTCAGCCCTGGTGAGGCCACATCTGGAGTGCTGGGACTGTTTCTTCTGCAGAAGGGAAGACTCCAGGAGGATGTTACCAATGCATATAAATACCGGAAGGGAGGGTGCAAAGAGGACGGAGCCAGGCTCTTTTCAGTGGTTCCTAATGACTGGACCAGAGGCAATGGGCACAAACTAAAACACAGCAGGTTCCCTCTGAACATCAGGAAACACTTTTTTCTTACTGTAAGAGTGACCAAGCACTGGCACAGGATGCCCAGGGAAGTTGTGGAGCTGCCATCCTTGGAGATATTCAAAAGTTGCCTGGACATGGTCCTGGGCAACTGGCTCTAGGTGGCCCTGCTCAAGCAGGGGAGTTTGACAAGATGACCTCAGAGGTCCCTTCCAACCTGAACTATTCTATGATTCTTAAAAATACCTGTGCACTAATTTTGTCATTGTAGATTAATCTAGAGAGTGTTTGCAGGCAGGATTCCAGCTGGGAATAGCTGTCCATCAGTAACATATGTGCTTATGGTTAAGAGGATGTGCATCATAAATACGTTTTTAGTCTGGATTAGTTTTCAGAAATAAAAAAACCTGCTCACAGCCTGATCAAGAAAATCTTTGACCTATCTAGATCCATCAGTATTATTATTATTTTTGTTAGATGGAAAAAATATATACGTTAAAAGCCTCTTATGCTTGGATCAGTACTCTATGCAAAGAATAAAATAACTGTCTTCAAATAAAAAACGAAATGTGAAATTTTAACTTTATCTCTTTGACTTTACCCCACCTACAATTACATCCTCCTTTACAGATACAAAAGCTACTTCCCAAGATTTTTAAGTCATCCTTATCAATACTAATAAATGACACTTGTTGTATACCCTCTACTGTATTCCTTCACAGATCAACAGCTTTTCAAACTTGATCTCTGTTGTTCAAGTCTGGAAAATTAAACTATATTCATTTTTGTATAGTGCTTGCCCTAGCACAAAGCCCCTCCTTTATTCATACAACACCTTGTGCACCGGTAGGCCTGCACAGGATAGAAAACTATGAGTACATCCACAGTTTGACTCCTCGCCACTCATCCTTTTTCTAGTAAGCATTCCTAATTGAGGCAGTAAATAAATAGGTGTTTTGCTTACAGCTTTTAAGAGGTCATGCTGGAGACACCCTGAACAAACTCCCTGTCTGGAGACACATTATCTGAGCACCCACTTAAAAACCTTCCTGAGTCAGAATGACAAGCTCTGCCAGTGAGGTTTAATGTCTTCTTGAAACACAGCTGTGGAAATACCACTTCTGTGCCCCCTCCCCTCCTCTCCCCCCAACATGGACTCATTTTTTTTTCATGGTATTGCATTCACATATGCCATTTCAAATACGTACTAATACTCTCCATTAAGATGCAAATAATACAAACTGCAATGTTACTGCAATTAGCATTGCCATATCAATTTCCTTTATCAATTAGTAAAATGCAAAAGCTTTTTTCGTCTTTATTTTAGTCATTTGTAATATGACAGATATTTGATGGTCAGCATCTGCTTTTAATCTTCATGAATGTATTATCACACTCATAACGATGAATATAACACTTATTTATAGCACAGAGAAGTTCCACTGACATCATTCTCATTCTGGTTTCACTTTAATGTGAAAATCCTCCTGTTCTCATCTGATTTCATACAGGCACTTTCCCTCCCAAATAAACATTCTATGTCATATCATAAGTAACAGGCACCTTTGTCTTCAAGGCAATGACCTTGCCCATGTGTTTGTATATACAGTGTTGAGCACCCCATACAGCTAAACACTAACAACAGCGAAGTAATTCTGCATAACAAGCTACTTTCACAACATCTGCAACCAGTTATTGTCCATTTCCATTAGTGAACACAAAATTGGTACTCTGTACGCTCAGCTACAAGCACAACAATAACCGGATCATTGTAATCTTTCCGAAATGTTTTGCATAGTTGTTCTAGCATACTGATCTGTCAATAACATTTGTAAGCCTCCCCTTTATCACCTTTCCCCCTCTACAAATTCAACACGATGTAAAAACAAAAATACTTGAAAATTACATGTGAGAGCAAATATGTCTAAAATAGCTGTGCCTTTCTGAAGTGATAAATCATATTTAAAACACACGCGTACTCACAACAAATACATCTCAGGAGAGCAATAGGCCTTTTATAATCATCTACTACTACTCCCTTCTTCTAAGGCTAGCGTTGAGAACAACTGGTTTCTGCCAGACTTACACACCATGTAGCACTCTTATTTCACTAACACTTCCCAAATGTTCCTATCTAACACAGCCTCCACTCACCTGTGTTCTTAAATACTGAATGTAGCTGACCAAGTGTTATGAACTTGCCAAGAACGGCCCCGGTCCAGTCCAATACTTAGCAATTTACCTCAATTATTAGCAGGGCTGCATATAGTTTCAGTAATACTAGGGTAAATCTAGAGTAAGTCAAGCAATATAAGCCAGGCTGCTTCAAATTTTAGCAATTTGGCTGAAATCAGCAATTGGCTCAAGATGCTGTTGCCTTTTTCTAGAGCTCGTGAAAGCAGGAGATCAAAGAGAAAACAGGCCTCCAATTAATTTTGCCCATGTTTTTATTACCCTGCAAAGGTCATATTCCTGCCTTGTTTTCCTATTTGTGGCTTTCACTGACTTCAAGGTCACTTTTTCAAGGCAACAGATGTCACGTTTGCATGAAGGAAGAAAGAAATGCACTAACTTATCATTAATGCTTTTGAACACTACACAGACATTTAAAATCAGGAAAAGTTTATACAAATGAAACTTACTCGACATTCTCTGCAGCTCTTAGTTAATACTCGTTGACCTTCTGCTAGCACTTTGCCTCCATAGATACACTTTGCTGTAATTTGAAAGAAGGAGGAGGGAGATTAAAAATAAATAAATTAAATCAGTATTTAAACAATCAACAAATACAAAGTATAACACAAAAGTAAAACCAGTATTCACATACACTGAAAAAATATGGATACATTAAGAATATGATGCATTTTGCTCTCATGAGAAGTCAGTATTATACAAAACTACAAATAACGTGGCTAACAATAAATTCCTTTTAAGAGCAAGTAGCACCTTTACCTAAACTAAAGAGGAGGAATACGAGCACAAGACAATACATTCTGGACCAAATTCATTTGTATTTGATAGAAAATGTTTTCATTACTGACATTCTGTAGATTAGTTACAGTACGTATGTTACTAGAGGTCTTCATGACTCATCAAGAGAACAATATAAGCACAGATTTCAATTAAACCTTCAGATTTTTTGTGGGCACAAAGGTGAACTCTTCAACTTGCTGGAGCACTGCAAAAATGGATTAGATGCAGCAAATGACTCTACTGAATCAACAAACTGTAAAAATCTATTTCAGAAAAATAGTCTTAAAATACATATGAAATAAGCAGATTTAACCAGGAAACTGAAAGCTCCCACTAAAAAATTCCTGTCTGAAGTTTTGGCCCTTCTGCTAAAGATAACCAGCTCCACAACCAAGCTACCAGGCTAGAACATGTGAGCACTCCTCATTCATTTCAAGGCAGAGAGAAATAGCTTAGCTTAGGACTACTGCCACCGTGAAGAAAGTAACCTGCAGCAAGGGCACAGTGGCACACAGCTCAGTCAAGTATTCCCATAGCTATCACAGTCCTCTTGGAATTAGCCGTCTAAATTTCAGTTCCAGAGGAGGACAGTAAATCCATTCATTAAAGAGAACGGTTGGACTATTACGATCTGACACAAATCAAGTATCCACCAAAAAGGCACTCTACATTACTAACAAGATCAATGCTAAACACTGATAAAATCATTTTTTGTTGTGGTGTTTCAGCTCTCTCTGCACTTGACCAATAACAGTCTGACCTACGACACCGAAAGGAGAGCTAAAAGGTACAAATAGTGTATTGCAATTTGAACAGAGCCTTCAAAAGTTTCCTGAGTCAAGGCACATGCCCAGTGAAAGAGTTCAAAGTACTTGGTTCTCAAAACTGTTTTACCTCAATTTCTCTCATGAATACCAAGGTAAGGGAACCAAGCACTTATAGGTGCATGTGTACACCCCTTACGGGTGATACCAGTAGGAGCAGTCAACAGCAGCAACTGTCACAGCTGGTTTGATTCCCAAATTTTAAACATAAAGGACTGCTAGACCAATCTTCATAAACTTCCAGACATAAATTTGCTTCTAAGGACTTTTTGTTTAAACCTGCACTCTTGAAAATGTTAATTTCTTTTTTTAAAAAAAAAAAAAAAAGGTAACAACAGAAGTGTAATATTTTCAGAACAACTCTGCATCACCAATAATTAATTAAAAAACAGGCTTCTTCCTTTTGGTATCCTAGTTTTCTTCATTTTTCTAAAGCTGCCCTAGTTTTTATGCCTGAATTGTTGTGATCTCACTTATGAAGAAAACTTCAGATCAGGAAGCTTTGTTTAAATTAGGAAGCCCAGTAACTATTTTTGGGAGAAGATGAATTAGAGAAGTTTCCTTTTTCTTTCTGTCCTTACATGACTGCTTTTAGCAAAAGTATGGACACACCAGAAAACAAGTTAACGCACAACTCAGAAAAATGACGAGACTTTAAACAAAATTATGTCTTCTGTCAAATATTAGTTGGAAGGCTAATACAAAATGGCAGGGATCAAAACAGAACCACCTCATTTTTAAAACCCTTAACAGATCAGACATTAGAGCTACTTTGTTCGTTAACCCTCAGCTACGACAGGAAACTGTTCAATAATCCAGCCATTCAATAATCCCTAGAGACTGCAAATTACAGCTGATGATTCTATCAGAGCTAAATAGGAAAAGCGCGGAGAAATTAACACCTGCAGTGCAGCTCTTTGGAAAGCCTTGGCAATTACTACCATCTACCCAAAAGTGACTGACTGTGGCCCTAGCACATCATTCTGTCAAGGAGCTGGCATTTACAATCAATTTCAATCAACTTCCATACATCTCTTCCCATTGACTGACATGCTGAGTTCTTGTCAGAATAATGAGTCAAGTTTGTGCCAATCACTGACAAAAGGCAAGTTTGATTGTTCATCTTTCCATTACAAATAACAGGAACACAGTTTACTCATGAGGATTTACGTTGAATATACAATTCTGTGCCTTGCAATTCCTCTGTGTCAGATTTTGACCATTGTGCATACATGCATGTCAGCAAAGGCACATCAAGAGAAGCAACCACTTTCATGAAAGAACTTTCTTGACCCTCAATATTGGAGGTCAAAATATTTTAAGACAAAAAATACAGGCCAGCATAGCCACTTTACCACCCAAGTACTCCATTCATAAACATCTTTTAGTAAGCAGAATACTGATGCCGACATATAGCTGAGAGAAATGAGATGACATGAGTAACAAGAGCAAGTGCAAGATCACAGCTAAAGGACGTTTGTCCATGGGACTAACGAATTCAGTGACTGAAGTGACAGAATGCTAAAAAAAGCATTCTTATTTTCCTAATAAATCTTAAATTTAATTCAGCATCTCTGTCTTATGAATTATTGAAAAACTCATGCATGAAGTTTACTAGTCTCCAAGAATAAAGGGGGGAGAGGGGAAGAAGATAATTTGTGCTTCTTAAGGGAAGACTGGTATCAGTATTCAGCTAAAATTTCCATATATAAATTGTCCTTGTCCCTTTTACTACCACTGAGGCAACAAATATTGAATATTCTTTCTAGGAGTGTTACTTATAGCTTTCATTTCCAGAAGAAGGAACTGAAAGCTGACAATAACACTCATCACAAAATTTACTTTTTTTCTTCCTTCTCATAAATTTATTTTGAAATTAATTACAGCAAACTATCACTCCACACAGCGATACTAACTCAAGGTCTGCAATCCTGTCACGTTTATTTTAAAGAACAACCTTCCACCCCCAAATAAAAGATAGGCAAAAAAATAACAGCTTAGTTTATTATTCATTGCTACAGAAAGTTCAGACCATAGGCTTGACGCTCCTCAACATCAACAGGAGATACAAGCTGAAGCCAAGTAAGGCTTCCCAACCCCAAACAAGTAGATTAATATTTTTACACTGACAATAGGTAAAAAGAGAATCTTGGAAATGTGCAGTGCTCGTTCATTTCTCAGCAATTATTTATTTTCTTTTTAAATCAAGTTTGCCACCGTGACTCATGTTACCTGAATTACCAGGACCTATGAAAGTCATTATAAAATGCGCCTGCTTCCAGGACAAGTTTAACTCTGCTTAAATAGAGGGTGAAACTAAAAGGTCCATGTGATGTACTTACCCTTGCATATTTTGCAGCACTGGCTTTCCACATGCACTGGGAGAGCATCAGGAGGACAATCGAGAGGGGGACAGGACATCCTTCGGCACTCCACAACTCCACTCTAAGCAAAGGTTTTTAAGACAAAATTCAACTACGACTGTTGTAATTGGTGAGTATTTTATACAAAACAGGGAAGACAGAAAACTATTTAAGTAAATGAAAATAGCATTGTGGATTACAGACCCATCCTTCAGTAACAAGTTTAATCCTATCCAACTACAAACTTGAATCAAAATTCATCTGGCAGTGAACCACCCCATTTTGATATATATTACTGGTTTTACCCCACTGTCCCTGAGCAAAGCGCATTAAGTGGAAAACTTGAGCCCATCCGTACATGAGCATAAGCATCACTTTCTGTAGGCTGTGCCAATCATCTTAGAGATTTTTAACAATCAGTTTTCTATTTTCTTGAGCAAACAAAGACTCTCTTCAGATATTTATCAAACAATTTCAGTCAGACAAGGTTTACATACTAATTCTCTTCTGTTCCTTGATTTTTTGGTGATAAACACTGAATACAGAATCTGCATGTTGTTACCATGCATCTATGAATACTATTAAGATAATGCTTCCTTTTTGAAAAAAACTACTACAGTGAAAACAATTCCAAACCAAACACAGACAATGCCACGTTTTCACCCCAAAACCATGAAGTCCTCACATATATAAGTAGAACAAATAAGAGAGTGTTGTCAAGGGAAAACAGATTTTATTTACAAAGCTTGCATATAAGCAATGTCAAATTTATATTTATTTTACTATTTCCCTCCCTATTGTTCATACTGCCACTAGATGCATACTAAAAACATAATAATTCTCAGTTAACATTACGTATTCAAGGACCATTTTCACATTTTAATTAGGTCCTACTCCTTAAACTCTTACTTTGCAAGTGCAATTCCTGCAGTGATCATCTTCAACCCATGAGTCTTTGTCTCTATAGACCAATCCATTTACTTGACAAGTCTTCTCACAGTGACAGTCTTCCAATTGACTCAGTCTTGTTTCTGCATAATTTAACTATAAATGAAAGTAACTTGATGAGATTTCTGCAATTCAAACGCATGATTTAAAAAACCAAACATGAGAAAGCGGTATATTTAATTTTAGCAGAACCAAGTTTGACTACAACTGTCGAAACACTGAACCAGGATGTCAGCAGGTATAAACTAACGCTACTCCTCAGACTTTGATGGAGCTATCCATGCCAACTGACAACAGTTCACGCAACTGTCTCTTGTTCTGTAACAAACTCCACTAAGATCCCCTCAGGAATGTCCAGGCACTACCAAAACTACACAAATTCCAATTGTTTAAATAAAAAAATAACTTAATTGCTCATCAACCTGATTACAAGTCAAAATTCATGAAGACTGGCAGACTGACTTTTCCTAATCATCCCCATCTCATCGTTGTTAAGCATCAGCCAGACTAATACTTTCTGACTTTCAGAAAGGTCTTAACCTTATAATAGCAAGTGAGATTTAGAGGGGAAAGAACACTTTTTAATTCAGTATAGTACAAAATATTCCCAGAGTGTGATGAATGGAGAAGCCACGCTCCTGGAGTAAAGCCTGGGCTGGTGGCTAGCTCTTAATACTCCTTGTGGTTCCCATTACCTCCTGAAGTCCAACTACTAAAATGCATATGAAGAAGCTAAAACTGCTGCAGCTTTTGCAAGTATTACATCTGCATGCTAGCAACTGCAATGTTTACTGATGAGACACGATGCAATAATAAGTGGGGATGATGCTCATTCACGTAGCACCAGAAAAGGAAAAGTTTTTTTTGAACCACCCTCTCCTAAGCCATATAACACACCTTGTACCTAGCATCATCATCTCTTATCCATAAGAGCACTCAACATTTAATAAAAATAAATAAATAAATACAGACTTAGTATTTAAAGGTAGATATGTGCATTCTTCAGGCCTCAGATTGCCATTGCTCTAAAAATTACCCTGGTGCCAGCTGGATGAGTTTATCTCAAGGTCTTGATTTTTTTTTTTACATTCACATTTGTCTTATGCGTATAAGCCATCACACTGAAGCCACTGCAAATAGCGAGGCTACCTAAATCTGGCACAAAACAAGATGAATGCATACTCCATTCTGTTATAAATATGATGCTATTATCCTACGTTATAGGTTGCTACATTTTAATAGTAGCAAGTTTTATTAAAAAAAAAAAGAATGCACAGTGCTAGAGTATTTTTTGCATAATGGCATATACCTGAATTTCATATAGTTCTATCCTCTAAAATTCCATCCACTTTAAATGAAAGTATTCTAATATATCCATTTTCATTCTTGCCAGTAAAAGAGCAACATATTTAAGAGGAAGAAAAAAAAAGAAAAAAAAAAAAGAAATTCTAGACAAATTTCTGTGACTTTTTTTTTTTTTTTCTTTGCAATCCTCATGAGAGAAAGCCCTGAATAAAAGCTCTTTATTTCTTAAGGTCGTTTTCTGTGATAACAGGGGATTGACACTCATCTCCCCCAGACTCGGCATGATCTGGTGACTTCAAAACTGCTTTTCACATTCTAGAGGCAAAACTGTCCTCTTACTGAGCTTCCTGTTTTCAGTAGAAACCCTTTTCAGGTCTTTATAGTCAGTCATTATATTTGCAGTATATAAAATATATGCAGCTTTGTTAAAAATGTGTTTGATTTGTCTTACACTTTATTTACATACTTTGCATATGTTGTTGTATTGCTTTGGTTTGTTTGGTTTTTTTTTTTTTTTAAATTAACCCTGCCATATAAATGGGCTATACTAATTTTAGAGAGAAAGGACTTTAGAAATACCCAGATTTGATAGTCATACTTGATATTGTCCTTTGGCCTAGAAATTATTCCCTAGGAAAAGAAGAAAACTTTAAGAGAATAAATATTTTCAATTTATTAACTTTTTCTGCCATTTGCATTATCTTGATGAGTTTTATTTACTTAAATATCATTTACCTCCTGTTCTAAGAAATATCTTTAAATATAGCAGATCAATCAAGCAGACGACCAGAAGGAAGGCATGCAACCACAAACCCTCCAATACACAGAGGGCAACGAATGTATTGCGGCCCACAGAATCTATTCAGAAACACCATTTAACTGCTACCTGCTGTACAAGAGTGACCAGAAACATTCCGTTTGTTTCTAAACTTCAAGCCTTAATTGAAAAATTTTACTGAGCTCAATGAAACAATTGATTGCTTGAAATTAGCTGAAACATCCTTCCAAATGTTGCCAAATGCACACAACTAGATTTGTTGAACATATAAAGCGCCGCTAGAAAATTCTCAAGCTTCAAACATTTTTTAGTTTATGAATAGAAATAAAATAATGAGGGAGAAGAAGCCCACACCATACCACCAAACATTCTCCATATTCTAACCAAAGCCTAAATTCTTAACATTCAGGAATATTTGGCTAGCTACTATTCACAAAACTTATTTAATACTTTCCTTGTTTCTCCTCTGCCCATACAAATAACTGAAAGACAACAGACTTCTGTTAAAAATGTGTTGTTTCTAGCAAAATTAATAACAGAAATATTAAAAAAAAAAAATCAAAATTTACACGGAAAATTTTGTTAACCATGGAAGTATTCATGGCCATTTAAATCCACAAACAAACCAGATTAACTAGTCCATAGATGAATTCGAGCACTTGTTTTTTCTTGGTTTTAATCAAACTCAAGCTTTAACCTTTCTGACCCCAGCCAGGGAAAGACTCAGCAGAAGGTTTTGTGCTGGAAGCCTTCATGTAACAAGCACATCTGAATACAAAGCACACCCCAGTGTGGGCCCATAATTTACCAAAAAGAAATTACATTCCACTCAAAGAAATGCAGGAGATGCCCAGACTGATTTCAGTAGATTGTTAAAGTTGCATGAATTATTTTGGGCATTATATTTAAAGAGGAACTAACAGCGTTCCAGCATGGCAGTTGGGAATACTGAAATACAACACAATTCTTTTCTTCTGTGGCAAATTAACATTTTAGCCAGATTTCTAACATGCTGAACTAGGGTGTCTCTTTCTTTAAGGACACAAGATTAAATCAATTAAACATATATACTGGAAAGATTCAGAGTTAATTCAAATGACAACAAAAATAAAATAGGCTTTAAAAGCTAGCATTTATTCATCTTTAAAAGCTATGTCCTTACAAGACACAGGTAGGAAGAGGACATAGTGGTGGTTAGCTTATTACAGGTCACGATCAAATGCTCCTGTACATCGCACTCCATGACAACCTGCTATAGGCAACGCTCTGCTGGGCCCCTGATAGAGCCCCTGTGTCCCATCCTGAGCCAGCACTAACCTCATGGGACCCTGAGGCAAAGCCCAAGCAAGAGGGTACTCTCTCCTCCTGCCTACGTACTGCGTAACGTGCACTGCTACCAAAATTATTGGAGCCTGAAGCCACCAGTCTGAGGTTTTGTTCCCAGACAAGCCCTGGTCTGAGTCTTCCTAGTTTTACATTACATAAACTGCACGTACACGTTCATTGCAGACAACATTCACTGGTCTATTCAATGGTGCAATACAGCTGTAAATAAACAGAGATTGAGGGAGAAACTGAAATTCTAGATATAGCAGAGCCTAAAAGCAACAACTGGACATCAAACCATGGGGCCCGCTTTTCCAAAACGTCACGTTCATGCTCCACATCTCTTGGTGCAGGACCAGGGGCTGGGGTTCATTGCCCATGTACATTAGCAAGCCGCTCTCTGGCCACCTGCCCTGTTAAACAGGATCTCTGCAGGCAGCCACACAGCCCTTCTAAGCCTTGCTCTTTGCCTTGCCGTACATCATCTCCCTACGACATACTTGTGTCTACATTAGTACCTCCTGTGGCTATTGTGGCTAGGTCTGAAAAGGCAGATACAAACCTTAATGCTTCCCTCAAGTCCTTCCATTTTTAACTTGCATTTGTCTACCAAATTAACTTCCCTTCCTGCAGCATGCATTTTTCCTGGACAACAATATTTCTGTAACAATTGCAATGAAACAGTCAGTGCACGGCTATAACAGAAAAGGAACGCGCAGTGAAGGATTATCCCAGCACCGCTTCATGGGAGCACAGTCTTTGCAGTACAAATACTGTGCTATTTGCTTCCCCTCGTAAAGTACTAGCTAGCAGAAATATAATTAACAGCAGAGAAAGCAAGTTACTCAGTACAGTGCATAATTGGAACTTGCTCATACCACCAGCAGGGCTCAAAATAATTGCCTCTTTTTCACAGTACAAGCAGCAAACTGAACTAAAAGCTTCACATTTCACATTGGGAGTCAGCCTGTCCAAAGCATGTCAGCTGAGTAAGTGGATCATCAGTATAATGCGCACACACTCTAAAAACAAAGTTTCCCCTCTCCTATTAGGAAGAAGAACACTTAAAGGCAGCACAGTAAAAAGTATAACACTTTTACACTAGTAGCACTACTATGCAAATCCCATTTTTGAAAATCCTGTTCGGTAATTACAGAGATTAAAGACATCTACAGGTTGCTTGTAGTTGCACTTAAATCTTAAGTAATTAACACATAAGTGCTGTTTCAGATGAGACAATTAATTGCCCTTTACCACAGACCAGATGGTTCACCAACATTAACCTCAAGAAGTGTTCACAGATTGCCCTTTAACACACATCAGGGGTTCAGTCACCTCTAAAACACAGCTTCCTACCCCAGAATTTCACCACAGCCTTAGCTGAAGGGCCTTGGCTAACCCAGAGGTTGACTGTGTATTGTGGAAGCAGAGCCTGAAGAAAATCTCCAAAATCCCAAACAAAAAAACACTACAGCTTCCCATTCATACTATTTATAATCCAAATGGGGGAGAGGGGACCAAAAAAATAACCCACCCAAAAAAAAAACCCAAGCACACACCACACCACCTGGAGCTGGTTTAACTTTTGCAGTGGTAAAAAACATTTATCAAAGGTGATGTCAAAATCAGCGCAGCCAGCAGCTTCACAGGCATTTCCATTTTGGGGCCTCATTTCAATTCCCAGGAAGGAGACTACGCCAGTCCTGAAGGCTTCACAGGACTTCCCACAGGCAAACACATACCCTCTGACAGCATCACATGGTGAGGAAATTGTTGAGGGATTTCACTCCTTTGTTTCTGCATTTATCCCTCAGCATGAAAAGGGAAATCATGCTACGGCTTCTTACAAGAACTCAGACCCTGGGCAATTTGTCACTATCTTACAAATAATAAGGCAGACAATAGAAACTCTATAAGGCTTAAGTGACATCCGTGAAGCTATATGCGTATGTCCACTGCAGACAGGGCTACTGGCAGAAGGAGGAAAAAAATGGCTGTACCATGAAAATGCAGAGTAATTGCAAACAGAATAAATACTTTCATGTTGGTCTTAGCACAGAAGGAAATGGGCAATTGACAAATAAGCTTAGGTACCTACTTTTGCAGTCATTTTTGCTAGGAGTTCTTGCAAATCCATGATTCCTTGCACCAGACTTAAGAAATCACTGCAGGTTGGGCATGCTCAATAAAGGAAGAGTAAAAAGAAAAGAAAAGGAAGAGAAGGAAAGACACAATAACCCATAAATAAATCAAGTCTGATATATTGCTGGTTATCTGAACAGAAAATGCGATCTGTTTACACAGAATTTTTGCCTTCTGGAAGTCAGCAAATGCAAAAATGACAAGCCTGAAAATACTACTTTTAAAACAAAGAAAAAATTTGTATGGAAAAATCTAAAATAGACTAAAGAAATTGCTACTTACTGCGATTCAGATTAGGACACTGCGTTATATATCCATTAGGTATAAAGATGACTTTCACATCTTGAATAACACCCTTTGTAAAAGAAGAGAAAACTGGTAATAGAGATTACAAGCGTTCCCTTAGATCCATACAGGCTGTTTCACAAGTCATTTAAGTGGGTACAAAAAATTGACCAGCTCAGTCTTCTCGTGAGGGGAATATTTTGTCCAGCTGAAGATGGACAAAATATAACAACTATTCCTCTTTATATTCCCCTGTGTGTGTGGATATTAATTTTTGTAAACACAGAAATAATACTGCTTTGTCTTTTGCAATTGCCAAATATAAGCTGCTTAAACGTCTTAAAATGGGATGAGACTGGTGAAAAAGCAGTGAAATAATATCCATTATTCAAGCCTATGACACACTTTGCCAAAAGACAAAAAGAAAACACAGCAGTACTCTTCAGTGATTTAGCCAAATAAGACTGTGAAATCAAACATTATGAAAAGAGAAGTATATAGAGCAAGAGGTAAGTAGGGTACATTTCAGCTGTTTGGTTTATTTTGTATCTCAACAGGCAGTTCATGTAACTGTGCCATCAGTTAGAATTAAATCCTCTCTCCCAACACAGACGGATGGAATGATCCCCTACGCAGGACTGGCAGAAACCAGGACTCCAAGGTCAGAGCCAGCTAGTGCAAGTAGTATGAGGCCCAGAAACTGAACTGGGTGGGACAGGAGAGAGGAAGAACCAAAAGGTCCAGTGCCGGTGGCATCCTCTGTTGTCCCTGACTTGCAAGGCTATCCCTGACAGAAGCAGCAGACACAAAGGGTCACCCAGTATCCCTGCACACCTCCTAAAGAGCCCTAAATCCTTCAAATAGCCTAGAAAATGTTGAAGCTTCTGCTTGCTCTTTTAAGCTCAGTACTAAGCTCTTGCTCCACCTTTGACTGCGTTTCGTACTTACTGCACAAGATCAGCTAGCTTTCATAACATCATGGGCACCAAGCGGGAGCAGCAAGGGAGAACAAGGGCCTTCTTGTGCTGCTATTTGTACTTCCCCTGACTGTTAATCAGATGTAGTGACATGGCTCTACCTCCACCCAGACACAGAAGAATTTCTTTAATTTGAAAGGAAATTTATAATCACGACAGTTATTAGCTAATTAAATTACCGATTTGTAAGACTATGTTTTAATTTTCAGTTAAATTGCAATAGAGTCAATTTTGCAGACTGAGGACATAGTCGCTTGCTCAAAACATTGAACTCCAACCATAAATAAAATACAGGCCTCAGATAGCCCTTGAAGCCCGGCGAATATGGTAACACGTAACATTTACGTGTTCATTTGCTAAAACAGCAGAAGGAAATCAAGCAAGCACCGCTTCTTGCTTACTGTTTCATGATCAAATATTAACTGAAAATACTAATAGACATAATCAGATCACACTGTCTTTCTTGCAGAAGTATATACATTTATTAACCTTTTCATCTATGAGACTAATGAAACCATCATAATAATGAGAAGTAATACTGTCACTGGAAAAGGCGCATCCTGAAAGCCATTTTATATACTTTCTGCTAGGAGTCATCAGTGAGAAATTAGAAGGTGAGGCATAAAAACATATTGCGATGCTCAAGCCTCTCCAGTGAAAAGCTTAGCCAAGAGTAAATGAGATTACAAAGTTTCACCAGACCATATCGCACAGCTAACAAGACATCATCCAGATAGAAGTGATGCTTTCCTCAGCCTGGTTTTAAAAAGAGCATATTGAACTTCAAATATTTTTGTTGCGTCAGAGCCCCACCGCTCAATTGTCTTTTGGATAGATTTGCATTTGAATACAACCTGAAGAGGAAATACAACTATTTTTTGTGTCTTAATTTCTGGCTACATGAAAGCATGTTACCATGGAAAAATATATGAGCTTCAATTCACCGGTATAGATGCCTTCTAAGTCTATAAACCCTCTGAAACAGAATTAATACAATCAACCTTCAAAGAGCAGAAATTTCGCTAATGTGTTTCTTTAATAGAAAGACTTCATTATCGGCAAGCACTTATTACAGCCATAATTATTATAACAGATATAAACAAACTTGGACTATTCCTCCTTCAGCATAAAGTCTAGGTTGCCAAGAGCTTTCTACGGCCACAGCCAGGAGGAGAATTAGGCATGCACAGCTCCGCAGGGAAGCCAAGGGCTCTGGTTCACTTTGGCACAGGGTGGAATTCTTCAGTCTACATTCTGTGAAAGGACATCAGGATTTGGCCTTGACAGGGAGATGTCAGTGGTCAAAATCTTCCCGGTTTTGCCTTTCCCAAGCAGATATCACCTCTATGTTATCATTAAAGCATGTGGCTAATTACAACCAAAGCTTCAGCTCAGTATCAGGACTCACTAGCTTGAAGAGTCTTCATCTGTGCAGGCAGATTACCAGCTATGAGATTAAATTCAGGCCTGCAGCACTAAATATCAAGTCCATCCCATGGGGATGTAATACAAAAGCCCTGTTTATTGCACTTTTCATGTCTCTATTAAATAGACGACTCCTCCCACATTCTGTGAAAAGGCTCATATATTCCATGAGCTCTCCACTTCTGCATTTTCATTTCCTCCATTGCCGTTCAGCCTCTTTAAAACCCCCTTCTCCCACAGAGACAACACGTGCCACGCAGCTGTGCAAGCTGCATCGGCCAGGGCTGGTAAAGGGCTGCACGGAGACACCAGCAGATATGCCCAAAACCCCGCGGCTGGGCAACACTACACAAGTGCCACTAGACCAGCGCTGTGCTCCCCTACACAGGGCAGGCGTGCCCCACGCCAGGCGCTTGAACGGCTTCCCTTGGCTCTGTATTCACCTCACCTTAATCTGTACGACTACAGAAGGTATGACTACAGAAGCCCAAGTACTTCTACGACGCTGCGCAGTAAAAACAACCACCAACATACTTCTCAATCGCCTACTATACAATCCCCAGACACAGCAGCAGGATCAATAGAGCCTACTATAGCAGATATGAAAATTACTGTCTTTCAACATGAATCACCTAGTCAGCAATGCATTAATAAGCTCATTTCTGCAGCAGCTCTTTGGAGGGAGCCTGAGGGGGAAGGGTTCTTCCCATCGATAAAATGAATTTTGCAGATAATTCTGATCCTGACAGCTATCAGATCCATCCTGGAGTGAGAGTTCCACAGACGTCTGGTATCACTCACTTTCTCTTTTCAGTTGCATTTACTTTGGTTTCCTAGCCTGGTTACAATGGTATTCTCTAGCCCTAAAACAAATCTTAGGTTCAGGCCATACAAAGAAACCTAAAGGGTCAGCATTATTTTTTGAAGGAAGTTATTTCCTCTGATTCCCTTCAAAGCAAACAGATAAAGCTATCTTAAGCCTGCTCTGCATTTGCTCCCACCACTGCTGCGCTAAAACCATTCCATCTTGTCTCAACGCCAAATGCTTGGTCGTGGCAGGTAAGGTACAACTCATAACAGATAGTAGTTGTAAGGGGGAAGACTTAACTCCTTTGATTACACCACAGAGCGTTTCATTCCCCAGCAAGGCCACAGACAGCAGGGCTACTTATGGAACAATCTCTGTAAGTAAGGATGTGGAACAAAAGCATAAGTAAGAAAAATGGCAACAACTGGCCGCACTTATGAACATCATATCCTCTCCTTCCTCTTCTGATATACTAAAGAATTATGATCTAGAATAGGCTTGAGAATATGGCCCAAAATGTGCTTTAATGCTATTCATTTATGGAGAGACACAACAATTAGCTAGCGATCATGAAAGTAAGAAAATTTTTGGAATGCCAAAGATGATACTCAGGACAGCATCCAGTGCTTTTTGTTACGTACACTATCATGGCTCCTACACACATACAAAAATGCTAATTCTTTTTTAACACTCTTATTTCCCTGCAGATCTCTGTTTACATTAAGGAAAATAGATCTACTTTTTTATATGCTAAAACAGTGAAACAAATTGCTCTGAAAAAGAAAGGGAGGTCCTGCTGAGCATGTAATATATAGAAAGAGATATGTACTCTTTCCAAACTGGCAAAATCCAAAGTTTTTGCAATGAGTAACATGGAAAAAAAAAAAATTAAGATTTCTGAAACTCTCAAGCAGGATTAAAAAAATACAACCAATTATATTTCTGCCCTGAAGTTAGTAAAATATTCAAGCATGCATAAAGCAAAGTAAGGCACTTGTCGGTTTTCATTATGATCAATAAAAACTGTCAGCTCATTAGCATATCATTAGCTACCCTGCTGTTTCCAAAGTGTTAACACACAGAAATATTAATTTACAAACACATAATATCCCAGAGTTCTGAGGCTCTGACTGCCTGCATAAAATAAGAATTTAAGATGGGCGAATCCAATATAACTTCTTTTTTTCCTATGTAGCTATAAACATATGTTTACCATCTGTGGAATTATGGGAAGCAGCTGAGGTAAAAAAACAACAGCTGTAGAATAAAATAATACTATCAATTTCACTTCACAGTGACAGCTCAGCTGCTGGAGGATGAAATGTACTCTAGGTTCAGAGCAACTCTCAGACCATCATTTAAGTTAAAAGTTAGCTTTTGCCTCTGTTTCACAATTGTTAGTTGCCATGCTCAAATAATTTCAGCATAAAGTAATTGCCCTAGCTTGTTGAAATCTGGGGACTTCCGAGGAGAGGTCCTCAGAAAAACAGCAACTTGTAAAATTGTCTTGTGAACTGACAGCTTCAAAGGGAAGCTGAGTGGGTGGTAAATCACCTTGGCAACAAATCCCTGCCAATGCTGGGGGTAGGCAGATCGGCCTAGCACTGCGCTATAGACTCATTCACTGAGAAACACTTGCGCCGTGGGCTGTTACCCAAAACTGGAAAAAACACCAGAAACTTTTCTGTAGCTTGCTTACAAAGGAAAAGAATTCATTTTCAGGGGAAAGGGGTGGGTTTTGTTCATTGGTGGATTTAGTTTGTTGGTGGGTTCAGCAATTCAGCCTTGACCAGAAAATCAGAAAGCCTCACCAGGGCCAAAACAAACAAAAAAAGCTGAAAGAAAACACACAGGAGAGGGCTTTTCAAGTTGTAGGTCAATTCTCTGTCCTCTGCAGTTTTGGAGGTATCTTGCTATTAATTGACTCTGGAATATATTGCATTGCTTGAATCCTCTTTTTCATCTGAAAAGTTCCTCGTGCCCATACTGGCCTACTCAATGATGACATCCTCGGGAGTCGCACAAATGGAAGACAACAGGCTTTCCAGCCAGAGGGTAGGAGCAGCCCAAGTCCTGCCAGCTAGCCAGCCTTTGAGCCGGGCTGCTTGGAAGCAACGGAAGCTTTGAACGACAAAGAAGCTCATGAACAAAACCTGGTGACCCATTATTCACTCTTGTTTGAGAAACACAGTGGCACACTTAGTTGAGAAAAACAGAAAGGAAGGAAGGTAACTCTAGGAACAACAACGACAAAAATGTTTGGTTTTCTTTCACAGCAAGGCAAGTGCAAGGCAAGTGCACTGCATGCAATAGCAGGCATCTGCCAAAGCCGGAAGGATCGCAGGTGAGAAGACCTCTGCTCTAGAAGTCAATGCTAACAGGGGCAAACAAGGAGTCACCCGAGGCAAACAGCAGAAGGGTGAGGACATTCTCTACATGAAATCGAGGAGTATGTGGCCTCCAAGAGTAATTAAGACCACCACTGTCTAGCCAGTAGACCACAGCAGAGCTGTTGTTTCATGAAGGTTTAAGGCGAAAGACAAGAATAGACTCTGATGCTGCTTACAGAGTCTCGTTCTGTCCCTAGGAGTGGCAAGGCAGAGCACAGCAGGTAGGTGAAACCTGAACTAAGAAAACCAAACAAAACCCCCAAACACCAGGCACTGCAGTCAGTGATGATGATACTCTGCCTTGTAGGAAGAGACCCTTTTCTCTAAGCGTTGGACCTACCTTAAATCCAAAGTCCACCATTTCAACTAAAATTCTTACGAATCAAATTTCAGGAGTATAAGAAAACTATCAGAAATACTTTGTTGACTATTAATTTCCTTCTTCATGTGCCATTTCGTATCTTCTTACCTTAAAGAAGCCATGTTTCCTGTTTCTCTGTCCAAGCCATAAATTGCTTTCAGGTGTCAAATTCGTTTCTGGGGGATCAATTATGCGTTCATAAATCCTGTAGAGGGAATACATTGCCATTACTTGAATCCTCTTATTCCTCTGAAAAGTTCCTAGTAAAAACCAGTTAGTGATAAAAGACAGAAAGCAGAACAAAAAAATATTTTTTATTAAACATAATATTTACCCATTGATAGTTTTAAGGTATATTACAACTTTAAAAGCAAAAAAACAAACAGGAAAAAAACCAATTAAAATCACTAATACACAAAGACTGCGTAAGATTGAAACTCCCCTTATACAACCGTGCAGCACTAAGCTGAAGAAACACAACGCCAGAACGCGTCACAGTAGGGAAAACAATAAAATGGGACCATCCTAGCCTAGGGGGTCTCCTTCAAACCCATTCTGGAGAGAAAGAACAGTCACAAACAAGATCCAACCAGAGAAACAACCCTTTGGGATTTTTCTTGAAAAGACTTCACAAAGAAATTTTATTCCGCCTCTACTCTCATGGCATTTTTGTCTCTTCATTTGCGTTATTCATCTCTGCACTTGAACTTTTCGTTTTATCCACTTTGCTCCTGTTTGCTGCTGTTACAGAATTCCCTGGGCCCGGGTGCGCACGTGTGCTGCCAGTACTGCGCATCCAGCTTGCCCATGTCACCAGCACAAGACTGGTACAGAATGGGACCACTTTGTGTATGTTTGGTACCTAGCACTACAGGGACATTTTCTCAGTTATTCTTCAAGGAACTAGAAATAATAGGAATTAGAAATGACAACAACAAGTAACAAGAGGTTCATAAGCAAACTTTATGTACTGCATAAACTTGCACATGAATGCAGCAATCTACATACCAATTTTCTAAAATTTATTCATGAAAAATTGCTGTAACGCAGCATTTTTAGGTTCAGAAAAATCTGGAGTTTTAAAAATGTTTTGCTTGCGGATTTTGTTTATTTTTATCAAAAATGTAATGAATATCCCACAACACCTTTTTCAGGAACTCGCACCACTACAACAATGACATCGTTGTTTTAGAATATGAAAAATTTAAAGACCAAAGTCGCTGACCCTGGATCCTCCTATTGCCATGTCACATCGGTAGGAGCCATGAACTTACTGCTTCATAACAAAACCAGCATGCTTAATAAGGATTACTGAGAAGATGATGAAATATATTTCCATTACTATAGAGCTCACAGGGAGCATCTATCCCTGTGCAATCACACCAGCTTGACAGCCAATAGAAAAGAGTCTGAATGTGTCAACACCTGTAGCTTAGAGAGGTGAAATTACCTGTATATTTAAAAGCGGTGAAATTATTTTTCTTCTTTCTTTAAAGCTATGGCTTTAAAATGAACATGAAAAACGAACACCAAAGAAAAATACAAGTCAGTCAACACAACTCACTGCAGTTACCTTCCCATTTAAACTCCAAGCATTTCTAGCACAAGCTCACCAACTGTAATCATTGATTTTTGTGTTATAAGTTGCCACATGCATTGGGTTTGTGTGGCAAGGTTTTGGTAGCGGGGCAGCTATAGGGGTGGCTTCCATGAGAAACTGCAAGAAGCTTCCCCTGCGTCTAACAGAGCCAATGCCAAGCGGCTCCAAGGCCGACCCC